TCTCTCTCTTTTTTTGATTAAGAGTATATTTGGATTCTATAGGCCTCATTGTAGTTGATGCTGTTGGAGTCTGAATAATATATTCTCAGACTATAAGAATGGGGACTGGAGAATTGGCTCAGCAGGTAAGAGCACTGACTGCTCTTCCAGACATCCTGAGTTCAATTCCCAGCAACCACATGGTGGCTCACAACCATCTGTAAGGAGTGCCCTCTTCTGGCCTGCGGGCATAAGGCAGGCAGAATACTGTATTCATAATAAACAAATTTAAAAAAGAGTTTAAAAATATTTCGGGGAGGTGAGATGGTTTGAAAGAAAATGGTGTGGTTTGTTGGAGTAGGTATGGCCTGTTGGAGGAAGTGTGTCACTGTGTGGGTGGGCTTTGGGTTTCCTATGTTTAAGCTATGCCCAGTGACACAATTCACTTTCTGTGGCCTGGGCAAGATGTAGGACTCTCAGCTCCTCTCCAGCACCATGTCTGCCTGTTTCAGCCACCATGTCCCATCATGATGATAATGGACTAAACCTCTGATCTGTAGGCCACCCCAAGTAAATTTCTTACTTTATAAGAGTTGCCATGGTCATGGTGTCTCTTCACAGCAAAAAAAACCCTAACTAAGATAGAAGTGAAGCAGAAAGTTACATTTCTCATTTCTATCTCATTGTTAGCTGTTAGGAGGAATACTAAATCAGAATTGTCACTGTGCAAAACTGGTGACAGTTCTTCAGATTGAAGAGAGAACAACTGAACAGTGCAGCAATGCTCTGAGTAGATATCCAAGGAAAACAAAGTCAGCACTTCCTCCTCATTGCAACTGTATTCACAATAGCCAAGGTGTGTCCGTGCTGTCCAGCAGGAGCCTGCCGTGCCCAAATCTAAGAGGTTCTGTTCATGTAGAATGCTGACAGTTCCTTGGATTTAAAAGAGAACAATGAAACAGCACAGCAATGTTTCTGACCAGATCTCCAAGGAAAACAAAAAAAGGAGTAAGGAAGCCCAAAGCATCAGAGGGTTTAATAAAGCATATCAGAAGAGAAGAAAAGAGGAATATTGTCTCGAGTCAAGACTCAGAGCGGGCAGGCCCAGACAATAGTGCTCCTAGGGACTGCTCTAGGAGATGTGAATTTGGGAGAAGGAAAGTATATTATGGAGGTGAATCTGCCTTCCTGGGACTCACTCCTTTAGCCCAGCTGGATTTATTAGGGAGGAGGCAAGGGTATGGATTCCATTCTTTACTGTAACACATTTAACAGACATTTTTACTAGTCAGTTAAGCCAGGAGAACAGAGCTGTTTTCAAGACTTTGTCTTAACACAAGTCAGTAGAAGTTGAGCTTGCAAAGCAGGTAGGAGTGAGACAGAGCTAAGAACTGTGGATATGCAAAGACGCTAGCAAAGAGCGGCCTTCCTTAGCTTGTCTTCTGAATTATGATCTCTTTCCTAACCTTCAGAGAGGCCCTGGCCCACCTCTCAGTGGTGAAGTGGTTAGGTCTAATCTATTTCAACAAACTTTAAAAGCAAGGTCCTCATCTTAAAGATTACCCTGTGCATGCTGGGTCCGGTGGCACATGCCTTGGGAGGCAGAGGCACATAGATCTCTATGAGTTCAAAGCCAGACTGGTCTACATAGAGAGTTCCAAGACAGTCAGGGCTATGTAAGGAAAGCCTGACTCAATAAATAAATAAATGAAGTTCCCTTGAGCTTCAGTGGTGGCTCACTCCTGTAATCCGAGCACTTGGGAAACTGAGACAGGAGGATGGTACTTGCTTGGACCACATAGTGAGGCCCAGGTCAAGAAGGAAACTCTGGTAGATCCAATGTCCAAAGACAAGTGACAATTTCAGTATAGCTTGGCTGCTGTGTAATAATCCTTCTGTGTGAATATATGTCACTGTGATTGGTTTAATAAACAAGATGACTGGCCAATTGCTGAACAGGATAAAATTAGGTGGGAAAGCTAAGCTGAGAATGATGGAATGAGGAAAGGTGGAGTCAGAGGAGTTGCCAGACAGACGGATAATGAGTTGGATACAAAATGGGTTAGAGGTAAAAGCCATGAGCCTCAGGGCAGCACATAGATATGTAGAAAAGGGGTAAGTTGTAAGAGCTATATAGTAACAAACCTGAGCTATTGGTTGAGCATTAATAATTAATATAAGCCTCAGTGTGTTTATTTGAGAGCAGCTGTGGAACAGGAAAACTCCGTCTACACTTGGCTTTCTCTTTCCTGTCTCCCTCTGTGTGATGGTTTGAAAGAAAATGGCCCCCAAAGGCACTATTGGGAGGTGTGGCCTTGTTGGAGGAAGTGTGTCATTGTGGGGGCGGGCTTTGAGGTCTCTTTTTCTCCAGCTTCCTTCAGTGTGACAGTCAATTGACTTCCTGTTGCCTGCAAGATGTAGCACTCTCAGCTCCAGCACAATGTCTGTCTGCATGCTGCCATGCTCCCCTTCATGATCATAAAGGACTGAACCTCTGAAACTATAAGCGAGCCACCCTCAATTAGATGTTTTCTTTATAAGAGTTGTGTGGTCATGGTGTCTCTTCACACAATAAAAACTATTACTAAGACACCCTGGAATGTCCGCATGAAGTCCTCATCTTTGCCCGTGGTTTATTGTCTTATAAAGCAGCTCTACATGAGCAGAGCCTCTGCTACCATCTGGACAGAGTCCTGGGAAGCAGCTGCTGGCATAAGTTCCAGGTGTCCATGACATAAATCTGGAGATTTGCTTGCAGAAGTGTGTCCCCGGGACCAGCAAGTGCGTGTAAAAGTACTTGCCACAAAAGCCCAAACCTGGGGACCTGAGTTGGACCCCCAGAACCCACATCAAGATGAAAGGAGAGCACCAATTCCATAAAGATATCCTTTGACCTCAACAGATGTCAAGGCATGTGTACACATAAACAATAATAAATTGAAAAAGATAAAAATGAGTTTGTACTTAGATATAATTGCTGTCTCCTGTATGTGACATAGAATACACGTGATAAATCCACAGGATGAGGAACTGTGTGGATAACTTAGGTTAGGGATGTTTAGGGACTGTCATACTGGAAGACTTCCACAGCCCTGGATCCACACCAGGCGTCTCAGTCAATTTTCCATTGCTATAAAAAAATACATGAGGTGGAGTGCTTTATACAGAGGTTTGCTGCTCGTGGTTTGGATCCCTTCGCTTCCCCTTTCATTTTTCTGTTTATTGTTGGAGACAGGATCTCTCGCTGTATCTCAGGATAGCCTATTACTGACTACATAGACCCGGCTGGCCTCACATTTATGGTAGTCCTCTAGCTTCAATCCTTTTGGTGCTTGGATCACAGGCATGAGCCATCCTATCTGCCTTCACTTGTTTCCTTGTGGGTTTTGTTCTTTTTGGGTTTTGTAGACAAGATCTCTAAATTGCTAGGTAGCTGTCAGTGGCCTTAAATTCCTGATCCTCCTGCAGAATTCTACCTCCTGAGTACCGGGATTATAGGTGTGTACCACCACACCCTATTTTTCAAATTAATATTTTAGATGAGCATACAAAGTGATGGGTTTCATCATGGTAACTTAAGTCCTGAATGTGTGTCATTATACTTTATTCTCATTTGTTCCCCTCCCCAGCACTCCTCCCTCAGGCTCCTCCCTTCTCCGTCTGGTCCCCTCCCCGGAGCCTTGGCTCCCCTCCTGCTTTCCTGTCATGTGTTCCTTTACTTCCTCTCTACCCATCTGTTTCCTTGGTTCTTATTTTTGGCTCTGTTTTCTTATTTCAATTTATGCCACAATTCATCAAACAAAGAATTAAGATAACCTCCAAATATATTTGAGACCCCCAAAGTAAAAACAGGTTGGGGAGGAAATGTGGCAAAGGGAAGCTGAAAAGAAAATATAACAATACAAGACCAGGTTGGGTGGTGCATAACTGTGATTTCAGACTCAGAGGCAGGTAGATCTCTATGAGTTCAAAGCCAGCCTGGTCTATATAGTGAGTTCCAGGACATCCAGGGTGAGAATCTGCCTCAAGAAAAATGTCTCAATTGTACCAAAAATCCATACATTTCCTTTCTTTAATGGAATACCTGTGAGCAGGCTCTATCGAGCAGGCTGATGGGAAGCTTCAGTCTCAGACAGGAACAGTCTGCCTTTCCTGGGACTTCCATAGATCAGGAAGAGTTACCCAGACCTACTCAAACTAGACCTTTTATTGGATCCTTCACTGCCCTCTCAGAGTCCCTTAACCTCTTCACTGTGGTCCCCAACTCCAAGTTTCCTCTTTATGACAGCATCCTGAGGCCTCAGGTGAGACTGGCCCCATCTTCAGCATCAGAGGAGAGACCTGCTGGACTGTCAGGCTTTCATCTGCTACTACACTTGGTTTGAATGAGTCCCATCAGATCAGTCCCTGCACCCCAGACATTTGTTCTCTGGCTGTGGGAACCAAAGGGTTTTTGTTGTTGTTGTTGCTGTTGCTGTTGTTATTGTTATTTGTTTGTTTTTCTCTGTAGCTTTGGAGCCTGTCCTTAAACTAGCTCTTATAGACCAGGTTGGTCTTGAACTCACGGAGATCCACCTGTCTCTGCTTCCCAAATGTTGGGATTAAAGGTGTGTGCCACCACCACCCAGTGGGAGCTGGTTTTCTGTTAACCTGGTGGGGTCCAAGCCAAAGCTCTGGTTGTCAGGCTTGCATGCAAGCACCTCTACCCACTGAGCCATCATACTGGCCCTTTTCATGTCAAACACAGCATTGAATAAAACCAAAGCACCAGTAAACAGTGCTATGATAACACTGAGGTTGAGCATGAAGCCACCAGCCAGTCAGCATCTCCAGAAATGTGAAGGTTTTCCTTTCAGCCTGTTGGATAGAAGCTTCCATTGCTTATGGGACATTGACAGGAAAGTAGGTTCATTTTTAGTGTCCATACTGGAGAAATCACCCTCTTCTCTGTATCACTCTTTCCATAAACACAGTGAGGACTTTAGAGGTCCTATACTATGGTAGCCTGGATTCGGTGACAGTCACTCAGTTACATGTTTCTGACCCACCAGGTTCCTCACAGCAGCCCTCACATCCTTGTTCCTTAGGCTGTAGATGATGGGGTTCAGCATGGGGGTCACCACCCCATAGAAGAGGGAGATGAGCTTGTCTGCAAGGTCCTGCTTGTCTGCCCCCAGTGGGTCTTTGGACTTGGGCTTCCCATACATGAAGAGGATGGTCCCATAGAAGACGACCACCACAGTGAGGTGGGCAGAGCAGGTGGAGAAGGCCTTCCTCCTCCCCTCAGCAGAGGGGATCCTCAGGATGGTCACAAGGATGAAGACATAGGAGACAAAAATGAAGAGGACTGGGATTGCCAAGAAGATCATGTTGGCTATAACCATGCTGATGACATTGATGGAGATGTCAGCACAGGCCAGTTTCAGGACAGCCAGGATCTCACAGGTGAAGTGATTAATGACATTGTCCCCACAGAAAGGCAGCCTCATTGCCAAAGATGTCTGTACTATAGAATTGGTGACACTAAATACCCAGGAGCCGACAGCAGGAGAGAGACATCTGCACCGCACAGCCTGAGAAGGAGATGGTCTTCCTGGGGGTCAGGAAGCTGTCGAGAATGAGGGGGACCGAGGATGTGGTGTAGCAGATGTCCAGGAAGGAGAGGTTCCCCAGGAAGAAGTACATGGGCGTGTGCAGGTGGGTGTCGAGGATGGTGACCAGGATGAGGACCCCGTTGCCCAGCAGGATCACCAGGTACATCAGCAGGATGAGCACAAAGAAGGTTTTCTCTGGCTTTGGGTGGGCGGAGAGGCCCAGGAGAATGAAGCCGCTCACAGGGGAGGTCTCATTGGGTCTGTCCATGGTACATTTGTTCTGAAACCCGTGGGAACTCAGAAATCAGCATTAACATTCTCTTACTCCAAAATCGCTAGGGCAGCTGAGCAAAAGCCTTATCCTGTCAGCTGGCTGGAGACATCCTGCCAGTCCTGTCATCCTCATGGAGTTGTTCACTTCTAGAAAATAAAGTGGGGATAGATACTTAACTTCCTAACTTAGTCACAAGTTAAGTTGGACCATGCTTCCTGCAGAGGACAATTCAGAAAATGGCAAAATGTATAAAAGATCTCTGTGAAGCACTGGAGAGAAAATAAGAGAAGGTATACGGGTATGATTTTGGGGAAAATGAGGGTCCAAAGGAGTTAGCCCAGCTCTTAAAGCTTTTGCAGCCTCTGGAGGTCACCAGGAGGCAGGTTCGTGGAGAGACAGAGTGGGCTTCAAAGCACAAGGGCCAGTGTGCAAGGCACCCATCCAAAGCAACTCTTCTCCCGTTTGCAGTGGGTTCGCAGGGCGGCACCACAGGACAAGGCAAATCCACAGGATGCAGGCATTTGCGAGTGCTGTTTTTCACCTTCAGATCCTCTAAGTGTTAGGACTAGGACTTAGGACTGAGGAGGTCTCAGGCTTTTACTGCTCTCAAATCCACAACAGAAGCAGACCCAGAGCTCTCTGAAGGAAGACAGCATCACTTTAGTCTGAAATAATTTCTACAAATAGCTTTTCAGATGCAACTGTTGCCACACATTTTTAAAAGAGTACAGTTGTGTGGTGGGGGATGGTCCAGGGATTGGGTTCTTGCTAAGCAACCATAAGGTTCAGATACCCAGAGCCTTAATAGCAAAGCAGATCATTGTAAGGGCCCAAATGAAGTCTCAGTGCTTTGGAGGCAGAGACCAGGGATCCCTGTGGCAAACTGATTAGACAGGCTAGCC